GCAAACTTGGTTTCCAGGATGGGGGAAATCTTGTTAACCAACCCAGGAAGAGAGCCTGGACCTCATGAGACAGTCCCAGTCTCCCTTTGCTAAGTTATTGCATGTGTTACTGGCTTCTGGTAGGTCAGATCTAATAAAAAGTAGCATTTCATTTGTCTCCTGTCACTGGAGCTGGGCAGCTTCAGAATATCAAACAGTTTCATCTCATGTAAATATCAGTGTATTATTGCAAGTAAATCGGGTCAGGGTGGTTATCCCAGTGCTCATTTTTATCTTGTGCTGTTGAGGAATGGCAGGTAGCCAGCAAACCATTCGGGGAATTCTGCATTCTGTCATCTGTCTTCTGGCAGCAGGCAGGGCATGCTTTCTCTCTACCACTGTATTTGCTATAACTCACTGTAAAAATTGGTACATTTTATACAAGGAGTCAGATGTTCTCAGCTTCACTTTGTATCCTAAGTGGAATTTTACTGTCTGCTGTCATGGACTTCTAATTCTTATTACATTGAAAATAAATAGGAGTAGTTTGGCTTCCCCACAGCCTTTGAGCCTGGCAATGTGCACTGACAGAGCTGCAGCCTTGTGTGTTGTCTCCAGCAGCAGCAAGGGCTTATAAGCACTGTGCACTTCATAAACAGAGCACCCAGGCATGCCCCACCTCAAACAATTTAATTTCCAGAGTTTAGAAATGTAGGTTTCTAGGAATTAATCAATCCAGCTCAATTAAAACCAACCGACCCAGCAGACGTGCTAGAATCTGTGACACCAATACAAGGAGCAGGCCACAAGGATGGCACCTCCTTTGGCTGTTGACCATGATCTGGCAGCCTGGATTTCTACTGCATTGGGAGAGACAAAACAGGGAAGGAAAAAACATGGAAGTATTATTCCAGAACTCCATGATCTCCTTAATGACTGAAACTTCCAGGGCAATAAAATTAAGCAGTTAAAAAGAAACTTTTTTCCATTCACAGCAGGATTTTAAGGAAGGACAAAACATGCTGATAGCCAATAAATTAATTTATCTTTACCTCTTGGATTGTTTGTTTTCTTGGTTTTGTTTTTTTTTTTCCTTGAGTGATATTAAAGCTTGCACTTCCCAAAGGAGCATTAATGAAGTTGCAGTCCTCATGGCACACAGACAGAGGTGCCACTCCCTGGTGCTGCTGCACAGTATAATCCTTGAGCTCAATGCACCCACCAGATCCTCATGTCACACGGACACTGCAACATGCAAAGAATAACTTAAAGGCCCAAATGTCTTAAGACAGCATCTGGATAAAAATCAGTCTCAGCTCAAATCTAACCAGAATGTAATTTTTGTATCAATCTCTCTCCTTCTAATCCCTTGTAGGTGGATTTCAGAAAATTATATTAATAAAACAGTGGACAGAGTGGCTATTTGAAGTGTAACAAACTTCAATTATTATTTCATTGAATGCATGTACATACATCTTATTAAAAGTCATAAATTATAAGAGAAAATGAAGCTGTCCATAGCCACATATAATGAGCATTTTAGGAAAAAAAATACTATATAATTGATAAATGTAGTATTTAATGTATTAACTAATGAATGCTTACAAAAAAGGCTGTTTGACAGATGTCTGTATAAACTTAAAAGATAGTTATTAATAACCTTCCCTTATAAAAATAAATGTCTTTTCAAATTATTTAATAAACTACTTTTTGAAAGTTTGATATGCAAGGATATAGTACTTTTCCCAATATTACTCTGATTTATAGCCACAGTTTAGATATTACACGTCTTTCACCACACGTATCTTTTATACTGTCAAATAGAAATGCTAGGGGACATCAACTGATATAAATAATCCACAGCTGCACACAAATCATGACTACTGATTAGTAAAGCAATTATCATATTAAAAGAGTTCAACAGGGCTCAACATACTGTAAAATTAGAAATCAGTCAATACCGCAGCCATTATATAGAATAGCATTGATCGGATGTACTAAACGTGAGCCTTGATGACAATTGATCACAATGAACTCTGCTCACAGAGGAGTCTGGTACACTAATTGAGGAGCCATCCTTAAACAGAATAATAAATAGAGGAGGAGGGGAGAGGAGAAATGGCTAAGGTGCTGCCTTTCTGTGTAGCGAAACAATAAAAAACCAAAGAACCAGGAAGGCTTCTGTATGCTGGATGTCCACCAAATTCCAAGCCTCCTTTTCAAACACCAAATGAACCTGTCAGCTCCTCACAGGTCATCTCCACAGTCTGTGCCACAGCTGGGAAACCTGCTCAAAAGAGTCTGAACAACACCTCAGAAGAAACATTTCCAAAAGAAAATCACAGAAGAGGCCAGAAACCCCAGAAGTGTCATCTGTGACACATGTGACCAATCTCCAGTGGTCTGCTTGAAATCAGGACTCAGACTGCACATGTAACCAAAATTTGTTCCTTAGAGTGAGGAGCTGCCCAGGCTGCTTTTCTTGGTTTTGTTCACAGCAAGCTGCACATGGAAGAGTTTGAGTGAAACACTGTGTTATTAAATTTGGCACTAACAGTTCTCACTACAGCTCAAGGAAATGCATGCTGGTAGAAAACAAGCTCCGAACATCTTCATTATCCTGAAAACTTATTCTGAAAGTATCCCCAGCCCCAGATGAAGATCAAACAGCATCAAGGTACTGAAGAAACTCATTCCAGCAAATGCAAATACTGTACTGCCTCCAGGAACATCCCAGGTTTGTCACCTCTACTGAGTGTTAAAATAAAATTAAATTTAATTTAATTTTTAAAAAAAGCTCAGGGGTTAGACCCCTACCTGATTTTGAATGAACTAAAAGACAGTTCTGATTTTGGTTTGTGACAGGGAAGAGATGGCCTGGAGAAACCCCACACAGCAAAGGCTGCTGAAACTTCAAGCAAGCACAAGTTTTGCAGGGAGTAAACCACGATAAGTGTTCAAAAATGCATTGCTCAGAGTATGCAACGTTATTTCTACGTTTTCATGGTTTCCTGGAAATGGGAGAGCAGGTTGTGCAATGTGGCAGCCGCCCTCTGGCCACAGAGAGCAATGCACAACTTTCCCAGGCACTGTCCTGGGGAAGGCTCTGAGAAGATCAGAGAAAAGAATGATAAACAACTCTTATCTTCACTTGCTGCACCTGTTGTTGTGAGCATGTGGAATATGTTACGGAGATTTGTTTACCAAAGGGTGATTTCTTAATTGGCCAGCGGTGATGGTGTTTGGAATCGAGGGCCAATTAGGCAAAACGGTATCAGACTGTCGGGAAGGGCGATGGGCTTGTTAATAAGTATAATATAGTATAATAAAGCGATTGATCAGCCTTCTGGAATCATGAAGTCAATGCTAATTGTGTCCCCGCGGGGACCCACGCCACCACAGTGCCAGGCAGTTTGCTGCCAATGACCGGACGCCACCAGATGGCCCTCGCTGCTCAGCCATGCACCTTGAACAGCCAGCCAGACGGGAAAAGTCAGAGATGAGCATTTAAACGTTCCCAAATGTAAGACAGCAGTAGAAAAAGACATTCGAAGCCAAAGGAATAAAGGACTTGAGCTACACCAGTCAGTTTTGTTACAGGGAAAGATCCTTATAAAAATGAGCACACTGCCCAAGTTTCATTATGGACCTAAAGGAGAAATTTTAAAAATATATCAGGTTTTCCATCCATACAGCCGTTAAAATAGTGATATCTTCAAGAATTAGAAGCAGCAGCTATTTTTGCTCTCTACCCCACCCACATAGCAGGAGGGAGTTACTTTATTCACTCATTCCAACCTACACTTACTTTCAACTTGTGTCTCATTTCCTCAGGCAGCTCAAGTTTGGGGTGAATGCACCCTAGACCACTGTGGTTTGTTTCAGTTTCCTGATGTATTAGTGCCACAGCAACAGTTGGCATCCCTCATGTGCTTCATACATAGGTACCAGCTAGCAGCACCAAATTAAAAAGCAAGGCTACCTAGAATGTAGGTCTTCCCTGCACTGATTAGCTGTATCATACTTAATTTGGAGATTAGGTCATCCAGTCAGTTAAAAGAACAAGGCTCCTTGATTAAGGGTAAATAATGGTAAGCAATAGAAGAAATTTGTGCTCTGGAGGAATATAGCATTGACAGGCTTGTCCAAGATAATGACATGACACATCTTGTCTATGTTGTTTGCACAGTTATCAGATAATAAATACATTAAAAATATAACAAGCAAAAGCATTACTTACACTGATAGGCTTTGGGTATTTTTTTCTTATTTGGTTTCATTTTGGGCATTAATTGCCTGGTCCATCCAAATACTCCACTTGCTTCCATTTTAGCCTATCATTTGTCACAAGTGAGCACAAGACCATGCTGCATTTGATCCTGCAAAGGTACATGGTAAAAAAGAGGAACTCTAATAGTTTTGAAACCTGGTTCCTACAAGACCAGTGAAAGATGAGTAAAGAGGAGGAGCAACACAACTGCAAGATCCTTGATTGTGAAAAATAAGCTGTTTGTCAGCTTCCCACTCATGTTGCTGTCATAAGAACATGTTCTCTTTTACTGTTATTATACCCTCCTGGTGGAGGAGAAAAACACACTTATCTGTTGAGACCTTTTGGATAATAATCAATTTCTCCATAACCTTGGCAGTCTAAGGGCAATATACAATTTCAGGTAAAAGCAATTGCCAAGGCCTCTGCTGATATATTCTGTATTTCATTTGCATTTCAAGAGAAAAGAAAGGAGGAGGTGCAAGGTAAGTAAAGAAAATAACACCAAAAATCAGAAACGCTTCTTTAAAGCAGGGCAAGACAAAGTAGTCTCTATTTCAAGTCAGATTGGCATTTTTACCAGCTGCTAACAAAGTAAACGCCACTTGCATTTGACAAGTTCATGGGTCCATCACTTGCTTTATATTACCCCATTCTGTATGTAAGTACCCACTTCACAGAGCTAAAAAATGGCTGAGAAAATACTGACAATCACACCATACTCTCACAAATGACATGTAATACTCATACATTCAGAGGTCTGAGCTTTACTTTTACACAACTTGGAGTCATAACCAAAATGAGGATCACACATTCCAAGACTACTCTTGATGAGCTGGAGAAGTGTTGCAGGACAGGGAAAAAAGGCACATAAATCTCCTAATTTCTTACAGAAGCAGAAAATTTCTCATCCAGCTGTTGTTCTTTATCTCCCCATATTTTCCCGTGTCTGGCCCCTCTTTTTCCCTATTCAGTCTCCCATTTTACCTCTGAGAACGAAGAAAGTACACAGCAGTGCATAAGAATGCTCTCAAAACTTCTCTTACTGCAGTCTCTGTTAGCAACTCTCAGAAATCAGTCACACAGAAAAACAATCTCCCAGTTTTAAACACTGGCACACCAAAAACATTTGAGAGTTGTCAGGATTTTCAATCACATTTCTTCACATTTTTATACCTAAAAAATAAATCAACAGCTTAAACAGCCATGGAAGCACATCTACTATAGTTGAGAGTAAGCAGACCTGTTCCAAATCAGGAGAGCCTGAGGCAATTTTCCTTACTGCTTGGTGGCTTTCCTTTTAGCCTGGGTGGCTAAAAGCTGTGCAAAAGGGCAGATTCTCCTACTGCTTACTCATGACACCAACACTTAGACTTGACAGATCCACCAAAGAAATTCACATACGTGTTGCAATGCCAGGCCTGGCCACAGAAGAGGAGAGCTCAGTTCTGTCCTACCTCTGTGCCATGTAGCCCAGGGCAATTATCACTTCTGTTAGCCCCTCCACTGGACATTGTTTTTCTAGAGTCTCCAGGGCTGGGCAGAGTTGTATCTGTGCATCTGTCCCTCTGTAGGATGTATTTGTGCTCTCAAGACTGATCCTCTGTCTTTTCTGAGACTTCAGCCAATGGACTGCTGTCATGTAAACATTATTAACTGTTCTTACCAAGGTCTGTCTTAAGAGCAGCTTGGCCAAAACAGCAGCTGTTTGTGTGTTTCATTAGGGACACTCAGATGGTTAAAAAAGCCTGATCCTTTGATATGAGAGCTACTTACCAGGAGAGCAAATATTTTATACCAACAAATGCTATGAGACGAAAATATTCCCACTGCATACTCCTTAAGTGCACTTGCTCTGTTCCTGGAGGATGGGCTTGTCAGAGGCCAAATCCTCAGCCTTCACATCCAGTGGTAACAGAAGCAAGCAGCTATCCAGAAATAACAGCAGCAGAGGACAGTGGATATCACATCATAGGTTTTCCTTAATTGGTGTAATGCATACAAACAGACTCAAAAAGGGATCAAGCAAAACCACAAGATATGATTTAAAAACACTGGATATTTTCTATGACGTTGTCCTTGGCTGTGATTAATTTACCTCAGCTTCACACACCCAGACATCAGGGACATGATGCCTTGGGCACTGTTCTGCTCTTTGTCACAGCAGAAAACTTTCTACAATGCCATCCCTGGTCTTGTGACATGGAGGAGAAAGTCAGCATCTGCTTTTTCCCTCTGACATACAACACTTCCTCTCTAATATGCAATTCAGAAAACATATTTTGGTGAAATGCTTCATGTCTTCTGACATCTGGAGATCTATCTCCAGAGCAACATGGTTACTGTGGCTCACAGGAGCATTGCTAGTCTAAGTCACTGAGAGAGAGTCTAGCAGTACAGAGGTGATTTATTATAAGTAACCATTCAAGTCCTCAAGGTATTGCAAATATTTTAAAGTCATATTTTAATGAACATAATTAATTTTACTGTTCTTCTCATCATCAGGAGAATTTTATTAGCATATTTTATGTTTTCCTATTTATAAAATTATAGTACTTTGCTTTAAATAAGGATATCTCTTCATTGTTTCCCTGTTGTGTCACATGCAAAATATCTTACAGAGACAGAAGAAAAACATGTTTGGTTTAATATAAAGCCAGTCTATATTCTGGTAGAGATAAGTCATGGAAAAATGAGATAAAATAAATAGCATTTAACAAACACTTCCGCTTCCCACAGATCCATTTTCTATTACTATCTGGCAATATTTTTTCTGTTGCTCTTCCTTGAAAGACTCTTTGACCTTTCTCCTTTTCAGTCCCCCATCCCTGAAAGATAAAGAAAAGAAACAGCCTTAAACTCACTTCAGGGCCAAGGGAGGAAAACATTACTATATTTAGACGATGCAGTCAAAGCAGTTTCCACTCTTAATGTAAGACAATGCTAAGTGATTTATACTGCCAAGACTTTCAACACCACAATGCCCTTCTTTAACCCAGCATCTAACAGGCAAGTAATTAATTTTCACCTAAAAGTGCCTGCTGTCTAGATCCACCTGTCAGCTTTGTTTCTCTCTATCTACTATATTATTCTAATTATTCTAATGTAATTGTTCAAGTAATAGAGTAACATTTTCTGAATCAGAGTCAGTAAGGGTGGTGGACTACAGTGCAAACAAAGCAAGTTTTAAAAAATTCCATGTTGATATTTCAGAATACAGAATATATACAGAATACACCTTTAAAAACAATTCCAGAGGTGTTGCTTCTTACCAAGGAAGCACAGACATTCCTGCCCGAGCAGCGATGACAGCCTTGACTCTGTCAGCAAAGTGAACAGCATCTTCTTCTTCCTGAAAAAAATATATTAATTAATTGCTTTACAACACAGACATTTTCTCTGTGCCTCACTTAAAAATTCAGGTTTTGTCAGACAGCAGGCAGCAGGGTTTATGCCAGACCCATAAGCCAAATGTGAGCAGTTCCAGCTGATCCTGGTTTGCCTCCAAAAAGAACTACATGGGAGACTCTCTGGTTTCTGGGACAACTTCAGACAACACACAGCCTGAAGTCCCAGGTCTGACCAGAGCAGGGGATGCATCCTATATAAATCCAAGACTGCAGTGTTGCTTCCTGGGCTTTGTCCATTATGTTATCAATAAGGATTCAGAACACCTTCTGTAGTAATGCAGACCTCCTTCCAGACAACATTTTACAAGCACTTTTAAAACATACAAAAGTGTAAGAACCTCTTTGACCATCGGTGGCAGGTACCACACATTGCAGACAATAGCCCAGCTGGTTAACACATTAAAAGCGTAGGTCATGATGGAATGCTTTGTGCTGTTCCAGAAGGCATCTCCAAAGCGGGGGTCATACTGGAAGACAAGAAGAATAAGTTGCCTTGGTTTAAATCATATAAAATGCCTCCTTTTTTTGGTCACAAAGTCACAATTCAACTTATTAAATAAGGGGCAAATCTAATCACACCTCCTGAAAGCATCAGTAAATTCAGAGTAAAGTTCCAAGATTTATTACAAGTTTCTAACAGTTAATCTTTACAAGCAATGCCTGGCCTCAAACTGTGACAGACCTGTTGCAACACAACTATAGCAAAAGATTTATTCAAAACGTAAAAACTTGTCATCTACATAAATAATGACTACAAAGGTTTACTTGACAATGCTCACACGAGTTTTAACAACTTCCATAAGATCAGGCAACATTATAGCACCAGAAAAAGTAACTAATATTTCCAGATCTAGAGTGACCTGGCTAAAGCTACTCAGCAAGACTTGAAATTGCCAAGAAAACTGTCCTTATCCTCAGAGGAGCCAGGACAGAAATGACATGTTTCCCATACTACTTAAAACCACAAATTTCTGTCTCTCAGGGCTTATTCAGTACTTTATGCACACCAAACATATCCCTTTTCAAGGCTTACACATAAACAGCTTCTCTGACATGAGAAGCGTTTTCAACCAATCCTTCCATGTTTGGAAAACTGCAGTTACAGTACCTTGATTGCTACTGGATGGATGGTTCCTCCTACCTCAAAGCTTCCCTTCTTAAACATCATTACTGATGTGTTGTTAATGCAGGTGCCTGGTCAGAAGTAAAATAGATGAAGGGCTTAATCCACTCTGAGAAAAGTATCAGGAAATTAATCCTAAACTGTTTTAAGGATACTAAATTGTTAAAGGAGAAAGTAAGCTTTAGCTCTGGAACATAATCCCAGAGCCATGTATGTCTTCATTCTTTTATATGATAAAGCAAATAAACTGTCATAAAACTGTTGTAAAATACTAGAACCTGGCTTTTAATATCTCACAAGAGCTAATTAATTCTACAAACTAAAAACAAACACCTCGATTCTAAAGACTGGGCATAATAAACTGCACTCAATGGCAAGAAGTGAGAAGAGCAAAAAACCAATACAGTTGCTTCTTACCTTCTGGGAAAATTAAAATGGGTAACTTGGCCTTATCTGCAATGTGTTCTCTAATTCTGTGGAGAGAAAATAAAGTTTCAGTGTATACTTCATATTTATTTTGTCCAAGAATCTAAACATTCGTTACCTCTCACAAGAAAAGCCCTTGTGCAATTGCCTTTTGCGTAGTCTGTTGCCTCAACTGGAATATGTTCTGGTTCCAGGCCTTTATCTCAGTATCTCTTGCTAAAAAAGTAGATTTTCTACAAAGCTGTATGAAGTCCCATTTTAACCACAGAATGGTGGTACTTGAAGCATGTGAAAATAACTTCCCAGATTCCAGCTATGAATGCAGCCAAACTTTTCTTTAGACTGAAATTTATAGTTTTCATGCTTTCTAGGTTCACAACATCAGTTTTACATGTATCTAATGATTCTCCACATTTAGTTAAATGACAGGTCACTATCTTACTACATTTGCTGCAGCACTTAAAACCACAAATATCACCACTGATGACAAATTACCACACCTGACCAGACAATAAAGCAATCACCTCACTACCTTACTTTTTCCTCACCAGGTGACGGTCTTTCATTTCCGAGCGTTCAAACAAGACATGCTGAGCGGTTTGCATGCAGGATTTTTGAATAAGTCCCATAAGCCCTCCATGTACCTGGCCAACCTGCAAAGCCCAAAAGAAACTTGTTTCAAAGCAAAGACACACACACACACACTTAAATGATTAAATTCTAAACAGAGATGCAACCATTTCTAAGCTTATTGACAAATTATACCAATCAGCTTGGTCCTAAATATGCACATGCCTGCCTACATCTAGTTTTTTACAGTTCAGAATGTGAGTGTGAATGCTGTCAACTGTTCTGTGAGGAAGTTTATCCTCTTACCCGATGCTACTTCTATGGGCATCTCAACATTACTGATATTTACCAACTGTCATGTTCATACCAAGGAATAGCATCCATCACTGGCCAGGATTAGGACATCCAATGGAGATGTGTGGTTGGCTACACAGATACCTCCTTCCTGTGGTTTGTTTTCCCTGCAACAATAACCATAAAAGTAATTAGTTAATGTTTATTCTCCAGACAACAAGCCCAATCAGGTGGCAAGCACTGAAAAATATCTAAGTGTGTGAAGACAGTATTACACCATCTACACACACCCTGCCAATACACAGCAGGAAACACAGGAGGGCATGTGAACATCCTGACAGAGTCTGGATGATCCAAACAGCTTTTTGGGTCAAGTTGTGCCATCACCAAGTATCCAGGTAGTAATGGAATAAGAATCCTGCTCCAAAACTTGAGATATTAAATAGTGCAAGAAACAAATTCTAGACTAATAAAGGGCAAGGTGGCAGCACTCACCTGTTGTGGAAATGAACAATGCCACTCAGACATCGGACACCTAAGGTGGCACATATCATCTGGACCTGGTTGCTCAGCCAACCTTTAACTCTAAAAGAAATGAAGCCATCGATACATTTCTAGTTCTATGGAGTCACACAATGTAAACAATGCAATGTAAACTCTCTGAGTTATCCCCAGTTGCTGATCATACTAAGGCTCACACTGCATGTCTGCTTTCAGATGCCATTGCCATAACTCTCTTGCACAACAGTCTATAATTTTACAGGAGAGAAAGTCACCCCATGCTAGTCCACATCTATCCTCTGGACTTCAGCAGAGTGTTCCAACTACTAGTTCAAATTCTTAAAGAAATACAGAAGAAATTGAAAGAACCCTCAGCAAACACATACCTGCCATTTGGAAACTGTCCTACTACAGTAGTGGCCAACATCAGCAACAGGATGCTGAAAATAGACAAGCAGATGCTACAAAGTAAAATAATCTTAATTATATGGCAAGAAGCAAAACTGGAGGAGTAAGCAAGAAGGTATTCTTACTTGGCTTTTTGATCTTTGATTCACAATGCTTCCTTCCAGTATTAATAGCATCTAACTAGCAACAAACTGCTAGCTAATCAGCACACAAACCCCTTAATCCAGCTTTGCTGGATTTTAAAGGCAAATTAATTACTAATAAAATATATGGAATGTGAGAAATTTACTTTTTTCTTTTAAGTGATATTTGAGTTTAGATGGCTTCTTGGAAAGGTCATGCCAGGTTCTCCTTCCTCCGCTAGCCAATAGTATATTATATTATTTCACAACTTCTGTAAAAAGCAGCATGAAATACGATCCCAGCAAACCCTGTGTGGCTCACCGGAAAGGCAGCAGGAGGCAATACCGAATTAGGATGCCAGTGACCCACACAGCAGCCAGTTTCCAGCTGACATGGTGCAGGTTGGCATTGGTTCTGCTGAGGAGATTCCAGGACAGCAGCTCCTCAGAGGAGAACCGTCGAGTGACTTCATCTTCCGCAACTGCCTCACAGCCCTTCTTGGAGAAGTACATGACATCAGCAAGGCTGAAACATCCTCGGCAGCGGCCAACAACCTCCTTTTCCATGGGAGTCTCATCTCTCTGGATGATCCCTGCATGAAGAAATGAGCCTTCCTTCCACATGGTGAAATGAACAACATGGATTCCAAAGAGAATATCAAGAAATACATATGCTTTTTAGAAACAGCTCTTCTCCTACTCAAGCACGATAATGGTATTGCTATGCCTCATTTCTGTACTGACAGTTCATTCCACAAGTTACTTCTCTAATCCTATGCCATATAACACCATATAACCTTGAGCACAACACCTACTTCATTATTGTTTACCAAACAACAATGCCACTCACATCTAGAAATGTCACCTATACACTACCAAGATAGCAGATCCTTCCTGGTGCCTTGACTCAAATTCAGGCAGAGTTTGTATGATTGTTCTTGCTGCTGTTGATTAGCTTTATTGTTTCCCAGCCATAACAAACACCTCCCTCTGCATTTTTTTTTCCTTGGAACCTTCCATCTTCCCCCATACCTTCTTTGTTAAGAGTCACTTCTCTACCAAGAAACTTGAAAGTGCCTGGATTTTTCCCCCCAGACATATGAAGCATTACACAGACACATTGTGCAGAAAGAATGACAACACATGCTTGGTCTGATATTTGTAAAACTACACCCCATAGGACAGCCAAGCAGCAAGTCTCAGATATCTGCTGAGGTCACTCTGAGACCAGATTTTTATCTGGCTGATTACAGTGACTAAAATTCTCTTGGTTCATACCAGCTGACACTTGGCTTTTTTGGTTGGTCCAGCCATCTTTTTTTTTTTTTTTTTTGACAGAGTGACATTAAGTATGCATTATAAAAATACACTTAATTTATCTTGATCTACCTACCTCCCCCTGATCAGAATCACAAAACTTTCCCTATTTGCTCTTCAGTAAAACCTTCAACTCCCAGGAAATCATCAGAGCAGAAAACTATTAGCTGACAAACCAAGCAGTGTACATGACTAATCACTAAAAATGCTACTACAAGTAAAAGGATAACTATGAGAATTTAACTCACTTCTCTTTGGTCAAAGAAGGAAGGAAAAATACTTGGGGGGAAAAAAAAAATTGGATTTTATCCTCATGTCCAGAAAAGCATGCAAATTGTATCTGTGATCTATGGGATGCTGTAACTCTTTTATTTGAGAGCCTGGATTTTTTGCATGTTAGGAGTTACAAGAAGCAAAAGATAACTATGCAGAGCCATGTAAAGCACAAAGAACACTAATTCCTCTCAAACCTGTAAAGAGAGAGCTGATGGAGCCAGAAAGCAAAAAACACTTATGAAAACAAGGATGCTTCCCAAATCCTTATCAGCAATATCTTTCTATACCCACACTAGTCTCTAATTCCGTTTATTCACAAAACTCAGAGATTATATTTTTTTATAACATGCTTATGTACGTTTATAACTTCAATGGATATTTGCTCAAACTCCTTTCTAAATAAGATTGCCAAATAGCTGCCTTTTTACATGATAAATAGTGCTGTGTCCCCTTCATCCAGAGATCTTACCAGTGGAGATTAAATTTTCAGGTGCCATCGCCTTCTGCTTTTTTACTCCTTCCTCAATCTGCAGGGTGGCCCACTGTTCCCAAAACAAGAAAAGTAGATGTTGATGGTTTTCATTTCATCATTTCCAGACATTCTGCAATTACCTCAGGTGAATTGTCTGAGCCTCTTTTACCCTTGCCAGGTCTAGGATTTTCATTTTTCAAATTTAGCCTGAAGGGTACCCTGCACGCCTCCTGTTTCATTTGTTACATAGACTACCTTTTGCCATTTCCAGGAAAAATTGCTTGGCTCAAACTTCTTTTCAGGACACAGGTATTTTTTTCTGAGGGTCCAAAAAATTACTGAGCTGCCTATGAGACTCTATAAGATCTAATGTGTCCAAAACACACTCTTCTTCAGTTAGCTTCAGGCAATAGGATTATACAAAATAATATCACTGACATTAGAGACATGGCAGAAAAATAGAACTAAAAGAATTATTTTAAAGAATAAAATATACTAACTAATTTTGAGGTCATTCAAGTGGTTCTCTGACAGAAAACTGAGCTGGCAACATTTTGTATCAATAGCATTCCAGAAGGTAGCCCCTTTGGTAATTAGCTTGCACCCTTTCCTGTATTCTTTTTTTTTTTTTGAGCTTCTCCTTGTATAGATCATAAAACTCTACATTAGCAAACTCAAATATAAAAGTATGCCTGATTTTTGAAGTTTTCCTAGTTTTGAATGTTTTCATCATACATACATAGACATGTAGCTCTCATGAGTACTAAAATCTGGCTGTTATTTATGTCAAGGTATCTGCCCTAACAAAGGGCATAGGATGCTTGAGAGTAGGCTCTGCTCACTATTAAAGGCTGAGTGACCCACTCAGTTTATGCCTTCACCTGCTATTAAGGGTTCCCATCTACAATAGATAAGGATAATCCATCTGCTTCATATAAACTCATGCTAAACACTTTATTTCCCTCTAGCTGACATGTGCAGCAACACAAGTCACCACAAAGCTGATCTCAAATAGTCTTCACTACATTACAATGTCTCATGTGCAAGCATCAACCAGCTTTTTGCCACCCTAAAGTTTTGCATGCTCTTTCTGTAGCTATCAAAGTTAAGTCAGTAGCAGAATGGACACTTTGCCTTGACATAACTAGGATATTTTAGTTACCCTTAGCTGACCTTTTTTTTTTTACCAGCCATCATAAAAGAAAACAAAAAAAGTGAAGGTAGAATAAGCTTTGATATGGTATTTTAAATTCCATACAAACCATCTTTAATAACACCATAAAGCAAACAACCCCCCCAAAAAAGAAATTAAAAAACCTGCACCGCGGAGCATCATTTTGTCTATACTTCCCACTTATTCTCCTGAAAAGGTCAACAGGTACATCATCTCTCAATCTTTTGCAACACATAGAGAGTCATTCAGAATGGTTGAGCCAGGGGATGTCATGAAAACAGCAGCCCACACACTGAGAAATGAAAGAACATACAGAACAGGTACAGGAGCATTGCAAAAGAGAGTAAAGGCAGAAGTGGCAAATTTAACCTCTTCGGAAAATACTGCTGATCATCATCCCTTCCCCAGCGTCCTTTAGGATAGTTGCACGGCACGAGGAGGAAAAAGTATAAAACGTAAAATATTTGAGATTGATAAATAAAGCCTTCTGCCTTAGTCTTTGCTTTCCTATCTCCTGTCTACCACCCTTATCTTGCCTATCATTGTCCTCCTACATAAAAAAAGCACCTTGTCAGCTGGCCAGGACTGCCAGAAATGAGCTTGTTCATACTGTCCTGAAGGATCTGGAATACCTCCAGGAGGCTGACTTTTGATTTCCAGATAGAAAAAGGGTGATAGTCACTGACCAAGCTGATTACAAAAATACACGTTAACTAATCTAAATGAGCAAGACAAGTCAAAACCCACAAAAATTTATAAAGCTTACTAGTAAATGATATAATCTTGCCTCCTAGCACAGAGAAAGAGTGAGGCAAAAGTGACTGGCAAACTAAATAGTCAAGGCTACAAAGGCAGTGTCCAAGGAAGATGAGGAAGAGCTTTTGGAGGCTGAACAGGGCTTATTAGCTTTGAAAAGAGCTGGCTGAGATGGGTTAAGAAAGGCATCTACAAAGTCTGGACTGGCACAGAGGAGGTGCTTAAGGAACAGCTATCCATTTTCTCTTCTACTACAAGAACTGAGGTTTACCGTAGGAAAGCTTTGGGCAGAGTGTGTGAGCAAGAAAAAAGGCAATACATTTCCACAAACCATCATGGGACATTAAACTCTCCTAACTCATGGCTTGGCATGGAAGGCTGAAGAACAAACAGTGAGGAGGGAATACAGCTGTAGAGTCATCCAGGTCTTAGGCTTTCAGTCCAGCCATTGAATTGATACCTGTCAAAGCCATCTGTCTGGGTCCAACTCTGGACTAACTAACTCTGCAGAAGCTACTGTGTTGTTCTGCCTTTGGTAGCATCTGTATGTATAATCTGTTTTCCAAAATGAAATAAGGCTTTGTGATCGCCTTTGTATTGCACAGTATTGAGACAGAGCTGTCACGCTGGTCGTGGTTGCAAAACAGTAATGAAAGGATGTTTTCAATACCTTACAAAAAAAACACAGATGTTGCAACTAACAGAATTTAAGTATTAAATGTAGCAACTTCATTCCTACATCTGCTGACTGAATGAGAACTCATGTTGTGTTTTCCCTCACTCCAATTTCTGAAGTGATGAGGACACAAGAAGTCCTAACACCCAACAGTTGATATCAGCTGGAATACTGAATACTTGACAGCTTAATTCCAACAGTCCAGTTGTTTGAGCTTCCTGTAATTACATTCTAAACAAAATGACTTCTTCATGTTAATCACTGTCTTCACAGGACATGACATGAAATACAATGTGGAATGTTTATTTCCTGAAATCTCATTCCTTGCAGGATTTTTCCTCCCTTTTCTCTTTCAAGTACACCTCAATACTCCATCTTTCCATGCTAAGTAATAATTCAGTTTTGCCTCTCTTCCCATATTTTACTACTTCTTCTCCCATATTCTCACAAAAGGTTTTTCTAATCACTCATTACATAAACTTTTCTCAATCTTTTCCTCATGTGTGACAAAGGCTTTGGGGCAATTCCTCCATGTAAAGTCTTCCACTACAGTGGCAAAGAGAAGGTTGGTAGGTTTTCAGCATGAACTAAAATTACCATCTAAGGTCAAGCACTTGTGACCTCACCCAACAGTGGTTTCTGCCTGGCATTATTTCCCCTTGCCCATCACAAACATGAACCCAGATTAAATGGCGTGTTACACTCAGTGTCTGAGAAGATGTGAGTGTCCACCCTCAGGCTGTGAAAAGAACTCACAAATCTCCTGGCTGCTCCATGGACTGATGAAATGGGTTGAGAAGAGTTTGTTTGGGATAAAAGCACAGGTATAATTTGTTTGGGTTTTGATGGAGAGGCCAGCTAAGGATAGCCATGTATTTAAAAGCACAGCAGTGCAATTTTTCACCAGCTGAAGTGCCTGCAAAATCTGCCATACTCCAGTAGGAGGTCACAGCATACATATTCTTCCATATACTTGTAATGCAAAATGCAAAAACTACTCACAATTTTTAGCTGGCTGATTTCTTTTTCTCTAAAAGCAACGATGCTCCAATTTCATACAGAAGTTCAGATCTTGTAGAACTCCAGAACATTTCTTAGCAAATAGAGAGCTACAGCCATTTAATGTGTTTCTTTGACTCTTCACAGGGTTCTGAGAGCATGGCATAGATTTCATCCTAGCAAGTGTGTCATCTTTTGCAATCACTGGAGTAACATTCCTGAAACAGCTTTGCTACTATCCTCAGATCCAACAAACCCCAGGATGGACAAAGCTCAGAGAAAAGACATTATTTACAAATAAAAATTTACAAGCATATGTGAAAGAATAACCCTAACAAAACCCAAACCATGTTCACCTTTATAATTTCCAGAAATATTTGAAGGATAAATTAAGTGTATCTTTAGATCTCACTTAATTTGTTGGGAACAAAAAAGTGTTTCAGAATAAAACTCAAGTTTTCAGACCCATCACTAAGCAATGAGTACTGGTGGCATATGATAAGTCAGTTTGATTTCTTGACTTCACTGAAGTGTTATAGCACTGTGAATAGTGATTAGAATAACTGGAAAAGATGAAATCATGCATATAAATAATTTTTACCTTCTGCTGCTTTTCTGTCAAGGAATCTAGATACTTGTTATTTTAGAAAGAAAATAAAGCATACACTTCCTTTGAAAACAAAACTTAAAAAAATATTTCTTTTTACTTTGAAGTTCTTGATTTCAGGCTTCACTCTAATATTTTTCTCAAGCTGCCAAATATGGAAGAAAATAAAACATGCTTTTCCTCTGCTCAGCTGTAAGAAACAGATAGAAACTCCTTGGGTGAGAAGTTTTCTATTATTTTTGCTGGTCTACATAACAGACTAAGTCAAATGCAACACAGTGGAGAGACCAGCCATAGTGTTAAAGGTTGGATTTTTGCTGAAGCATCATGCAGTTGTTTGGCACTTCCTCGAGCAGTGATATTCCTGCAATATAGTCAGTAGTGTGCTAATACATTTCTAAGCATCTTCAGCATTTCCAGCTCAGCTCTCCGGGAAAGCATCCTGTTTCACCATTCCAGAGGACAGCAGGAACCACACATGATCTCTGTGCATTAGCAATATCGTAGGAACACAACACCACAGCTAGAAACCAGCCAACAGCTCTCCAGGGTTTCAATGTCAGGTTGTTCATATCTCAAACAAGACTGCTTTAAAGCTGACTTATCCCAAGCTTCAGTGTTGGCTCTATTCTGGTGAAAAGCCCCAAGACTCCAAGAACAGGCCCAGCAATTCCATGCACAAGCTTTAGCCCAGAGTTTTCCAGTCCTACCCTTTCCTCCAAAGAGCCTAGTGGGCCACATTACAAGCAAAACATAACACTCCACATGGAGTTGTGCTGTTCCTGTTATTAGCTGCTGTGGCAACAGGGAATTAGACACAAAAGACTATAGCTGATCACATAACAATTAACTTATTTCCTTTTCAGTATGTTGATCCTCCACATCGTGAGCATGGAATTATCACACTCATAACCTGTTACAAAAATTGTGGAGAGAAAAATATTTCATGTGCTTTACCAAAGAGAAGTGCCTTCCTATATAAAACACACACTGAGTGGGTCAAACGTCTCTTGAAGTTGGGAAATGCACAGGAGAAAAAAAAACCCAGAAATTATTTTGATGCCCACCAACTAAAGCAGTAAAGCTGTCCAAAGACAGGTTTGATATAAGAGTAGCTCTTAATTAGGGTACAAGTAAGCATTTAATCAGCATACCACTGTCTGATTAAAAAATAGTTCACATATAAAGGCTAATATTACATACAACCACAGCAGGCAGTCACTGCCCGCTGACATCAGTATCTGAAAAAAAATAACCCCAAAATTTTGCAGTCATCTGCAAAATGATGTTCATACAGCTGAAGACAGATACTGCCCAAGAGCTCCTAATCACTATTAAAACAAATCAACAAAAATTGCCCCCGCCTCAAACAACAACAAACAAAAGAGAACATAAGAAGGATAAAAGATAATTGGCAAGGTAAGATGGTTATGATATTAACAGTATCACACTGTTATAGACATGCTCTACTGCAAAACAGATTACTCCAAGTGCTTAATAATAAGAGCAACAATAATAGTAACATGTTTTCTGCCACAAGTAGAAAGCATATTCACAGAAAGCAGGTTTATGCCAGAAGCACAAAGTCAATCTACCGGAAAATGGAAATGCTTTACTGTTCAATATGATGAATTCACAGCACCTACTTCTGGCTAGTAATGGATATCAAAAGTCAATCTTGAAAAACTAAATGGGATTCTGGCTTATAAAAAGCCCCAGCAACCATTTATTGACAGAAGCAGGATCAGAATCTTATCCATGATCTGTTTATCTCTAGAAAAATTGCACTTTTAGAAGGTTGCACACAGATTCCTTTAAATCTGTACAAGCAGAACTTGTAACTGCTGGATCCCCCAGATTTAACTGGGTGAAGCAAACACACAGAATAGGTGTTCTTGCCTGGAATATTAATTCCATGTAATTAAAACAATCCAAATAAAACCACTGAAATTTATATACATCTAAAATACATGTTTTTATTACTTACCAACTCCCACAAACTAATAGATCTTTTTCTTTATACTTGTCAAGAGTATTCTACTTGCCTGAAGCATTCTAACAAGCATGAACTAGAAGAAAATACCATGGAATCTCTACTTTAGCTCCAAAAAAACCTCAAACCAGTAGCAGATTATAAACCAGCACATAACTAGATATCATTAAAGACACTCCTCAAAAGATTATAATATAAAATAAAGCTGCAAATAACACATGCAAGTTAATGGATTTTTTTTTTGCCAACTTTTATGGCATTTCTATCAAAGGTACAGATTTTTTTTTTTTTATTAAACATGTTCTGTAGCAAACACATACCTTTGAACTCACTTCTCAACTTACCTCTAACATTTTAACTACAATTTTCATATAGAAATGAGAAATCCCCAGTGACACTCGAAATATTGAAGGCAACAAAATTAATGCCACAAACAAAATCATCCAGATAGACAAAATCTTGTCTTCTGTAAGGCCATGACCTTCTCTACTTTCTTCCATGTTTGTCCCTCCAAAATGCCAACCAGCTGCCTTTCTGAGAATATATGCTCATCTGTAGTGCAGAATCTAGCAAGCTTCAAGAGACAGAGGCAAAGAAAAATTACACATTCTAAGAGCCAAAGCTGTCTCTAGGAGAAGGCTGCTGCTCACTGAAGACTGACACTACAGATACTCTGAGTGATAAAGTAATTTCTACCCTTTGTCCCACCCTAACTCCACCCACTTCCTTGTAATTGATAAGCATTTGGTCACCAGGGGACAAGAAAGAAAAAACATGATAAGTAATAATATATGTTAGATAATTAGATGCTGCCAATACGGAGCCTTGTCAATGGGACAACTGGTTTTCACAGGGTGTCCTGCCAATAAATTACAGTACAGAAGTAGGTGGGTGTGTTTTTCAGATCGCCTAAAAACTTCTCTTATTAATACACATGAAGCATTTCTCCAACTGATGTTTGCACAAATCTGTGACTTATTCACTCAGATTTTCTATTTCATGGTAAGATAATTGTCTTATTTTGGTATTTGAGCAAATGAGTGAAACAGAAGCTTGAGGTGCAAGTCAGGCTTTTTCTATTTTATTTTATAATAACACATATGAAATGAAGATGCAAGTTTCAGCAGGCAAGGACTGACAAGACAATTAACCTGCTCCCTCCACTCTATCTCTACCATAAATTTGCCAAAAAAGCCTGTATTACAGGGTTACAAAATACACTGTGGTGAAGTAACAAGCCATCTATCTTCGCACATATTCAACTACAGAATTGAAATGCAAAAGAAAATCCTGTTTTTCCTTCTAGCCTATCAAATTTCAATAATTTAATTCAGTATTTTTTAGAGAATACCCAGCTCAACCCCTTACAGCCACCCTTCTGCCTGTTTGCATGCATCACAGATGATATAAAGGTGCATAACTCTAGAACCTCAGGGAAGCCCACCAGATACTTGTTTACAACCTTCCCACAGAACAAATTAACCAACCTTGGTGGAAGGAGGATTTAGGGCACAATTTCCAAGACAGTGACATGCTGGTCCACAAAAGATCTTCCTTTTGCCAATACACTGGTATGCTTGTCTGCAGCCAGGGCTGTCCTTTTAAAATATTCCCATCCTCAAGTACCATTGCTTGGTTTGCGTTGTGAAGCAACTAGATTCCTTATAAATTGAAGAAGCTGCAAAGATCCTGTGTAAAATGTGGATCCAACACCGTCCAGGCAGTAAGAGAAGCACAGATGTCAGAGGGGGCTGCACCACTTCTAACTAACACCACACACCCAGGCTCCAGCACGCAGGCTCCTGACACTCACAAGCCCATGTGAATCCATGGCACACTTCTTGAGCCACATAGTGAATCCAGTAGCTTCTGTACATCCAGATTTGCTGCTGCATGACATCCCTCAGGTCTTTCAAATTACATTGCAATCTTATCCAGCAATATAACTTCTCTTTTGCATCTTTACATTACTTAGCTTCCTCACCTTTCTCTCTCCCCTTGCTGGCCGCCTTCCGAGCCTTCTGTATCCTCAACAAAACCTCACTGGTTTGGTTTTTAAGTGTTTCTGCCTTCCCAGTGCTCTTGCTCTCAGTGACAACCTTAAGCTCTCTCACCCTGCTGCTGCCAGATACACCATTAACCACTATTTCTCACCTGCCCTGCCAAAAGACTCTTCTAGGAAAAATGCTCCATTGTAAAACAGCTTTGCTCACCCATTTCTCTTTAGCTACTATTCCTTATTCTCCTTTCTGGTCTCTTCCTCAAGCTAACACCCATTCCCTAGAGGGGTTTGCACAGCTAACACACATTCCCTAGCAGGGCCTGTGGTGGAGAGCTGGAGGAGCGGGTATTGATCCACCTGGCAGCACCTGTGAGTAGCTGCCATCAGCCTCGGCACAGGGGATCGGTATGCACGGAGTCTTAAGTGCTAAAAACCTCGTGGGCGGGAGGGTGGAGGTAATTTCTGGGACCTGATTTGAGACAGGAAAGGTGGGCAAAATGAAGTATTGCAAGGAACAGGAAGATGTGGTGACTCACTTGGTGGGATGCCTCAGCAGCAAGTTTAGGCACAAACAAGACAGATAATTTCTTAAAAGCACAGAGGGAAAGACAGACTTGCCTAGCCTGGGTAGGAGAAAGAAGTTTCCTCTCCTGGATAAGGGAGAGTTGTTTTTCATCCTGTGAAACCATATAAAGAAAGAACTGAAGAGTTTCTAGTAGCCTCTTTATTGAGGTGGTCAAATCATCCAGCCCAAAGGTACTACAAGATCCATATGGCCAAGGCTCTTCTTACAATTATTCTTTGCTTTATCCATTTTGTACCTCCTGAAATAATGAAAACCATTTTGATTTCTTACTACTGTGCTACCACTGATGTCACATGGTTTGGAGAGCAAAAGCGAATACACAAACAAAAAGGCCTGCACCTCAACCACCCAAACTGGGTATGACACCAAATTCAAGGAGATTCTGCACATCTACCTATTAACAGTACGGAAAAAACATTGTAATTCAATGGAAAATTGTCCCAAAACCTACAAAGGAATAAACCTGAGTGCTGGAACTTGTCCAATTATGACCAAGGAGTTTAATCTTGTTAAATTTCTGCCAAAAATATCTCCTGAAGCTTCTAAAGCATCCTTCTGCTCTTGAGACCATAAGCATAAAAACAGCTGAGACATGGTGGTCTATGCACTGTATGTCAACTCCAAATCACTTGAGACTGTTACAGAAGTGAATATGAATTTGAATTTTATCTCTGCCCTGAATGAAGGTAATGAACTTGCTCATGATGTGAAGAAGAAAGGAAATTCTTTATTTCTTCAGGCAATTCATAACATAGCTTCCTATTTTTGGTCATAAATTTGGCATAGCTTTTTGCACCCCATCACAATAACTTATGATGATATAATAATAATTATTATTATTTCAGAAGAGCCATGAAATGTCATTTTTGTCAAATTTCGATGTGAATAGATATGCATCCAACACTAAGCTGAATAACTACAGTTTGTAATATGACTACATACATTTCCTCAGCAAAATAATTTCTTTCAGTATTAGTTCTGCCATCCACTGACTAAACAAAGATTCTGCATGTCATTCTCCTGCCCTTTTTGTCCATATTACCAAGAGCCAACCTGCTGCATCACACCTGTTTAGAAGCTGTGAGAGAGGCTTTATTCAGAAGAGGGAAAGTATTGCAAATAATGCAAATAAACATGCAGCAACAAAATGTAGAATTATTTTTTTTTTTTGGTAAGGTCCAGTAAATAACAAGTGATGAATTTATATCAAATAACCACAAGCACTTTTTTATTATGAAGTACCCATATGTCAGGAAAAGCCACCAGAAAATGTGCAAAAGTCTCTGTCCATTTGGAAGAATGGAACCCAACTTAGAAGGAAGTGATGTGGGTCACAGGAGGAATCCCAGAGCAAAGCTCCCTTTAGTTTAATGAATCTCAAATTTACACCCACAAGTATAACAAATTCACTTGAAACAATTTCTGGTCTCCTAGGAAATGACAAGGAGATGGAAGGGGTATCAGCTGCCTACTCTAGGTTCTAGATCCCTTGAGGTTGTTCTGGTGATGTCATATTGCAAAACATTGTCTATTGCCTAACTGCCAATTGTCGGAGGGAACTGGAATTACGACCCATTTATTTTTCCAGTGCAAGAAGAAGCAAACACAGCACGGACCTGTGTCTATTTGTAGTGCCTCACATGGAAGGGTTAAATAAGGTATAAACAGCCCCTTCCTGCAGAGCAGTCAGCTTTTAAGCAGGTTCAAATACACTGTGAACAGATAAACAACTGCGGTGGGAGGTGATAGCTTTCAAGGAGTGCTACTATGGTTTTGCATTCCCTCTGATACAGAAGTGGAGCACAGCCTGGAAATAACACTTGCCAAGGTCATCAAAAAGAAGGAATCACACAGTCACAGAAATTTTGGCAAGCACTCTTTCCAGGTATGCTTCCTTCCTATCCAACACTAACCATTCCAGTGACTCCGAAGGGATGTCAGGAAAGAGTTTTCAGCCTCCATTTCTTCTACCGCCTTTCTTATCAGACCACTCAAACATCACATGTCCCCAGCAGATACTGCTCCAAAGCAGCACTGGCACATTAGTTTCAGCCAGGTGGTGCTTCAAATGCTGAACTAACACACTCCCTAAGGATTAACAAAGGGATATTTCTACCTGAGGCAAATTACAGTTGTGGTGTATTTTTTCTTTAATTTGATATTTGTTCAGTGTCTATTCACCCTCCCTCTCCCTAATCTCCTGCCCTCCCCTGTTGTCAATCTTCCCAGGCTCTTCCTAACCCCCTCCTCTCCAAGCTGTCAATCCTCCCTTTCCCTGCCCCTTTCCCCAGAACATTCCCTGTCACTCCTCCTAGTCTCCTCCCCTGCTTCCAGAGCATTCCCTGTCTATTTAGTGAGGCTCAACACCCTATTGGTTACTTTGTGTTACTCCACTCCCCTGTTTCCCCTGATAGGTTTGGGATATGTTAGTCCCATCCTAGACTCCTCCCCAGCCCTGCCCTCATTGGTTATTGTTCCTATACCCCGCCTCTTGAATTATGGTATAAAACCTTTGTTTGCCCTCCCTGGAGGGTCTTGGGGCTCACTGAATAAAACCATCCTGTTTGCCCCCAAGTCCTGTGTCACCTCTGTCTGTCCCCGTGCTGACAGCTGGGACTGCAGAGCTCACAGGGGGAGAGGCCGCCCGTTCTCTTCCCTCATCGCCCAGCACACCACCGCTCGGGGTATCGCAGCGACAGAAGCTGCCCGCGATACAACATACAGTGATCATGACTGTCAGCAAAGGTCAACTTTCTATCATTTGATCCTTTTTTTAGAAAATATACAGGGTATAATTTTTACCTGTTTGGAGCAGCAACATTGTCCAAAGCTGTTTGCAGCCAGTATACAGAAGTACATCGTGACATTGTCATTACGCATGGGAAGATGTAATTATTGCTAAAATTATTTTTCTGACACCAATTGTAGGGCTCCCTGGTATTTGTCTGTGAGTTTTGCCATGCTACAAAGCAGACTGATCTATTCAGAAAAGCCTTGTAAATTGATGACACAGAGTCAGACAGGGCTGATTTGCCAGCATCACTTAATGTCCAAGGATACCAGGATCATGTTTTTCAGGACAAGAAAGTGCTCCAACAGGACTGATCAGAACATTCTACACCACAGTAATTCTGCTGAGTGTACTCAGAATTAAAACTACTAAGACCATCTCTTTTTTCAACTAAACTTTAGCTACAGCAACAACAAAAAGCCTTTTTTAGTTTTGCTTATGTCTTCTCAATGTTTCAACCCCACATTTATCAAATTCCTTACATGATTGCTACTCAAGGGCGAAACAATCTCTGGTAGATTTGTTTTGATATCTATCAAGACTGAGGTTCATGCTTTACATGTGAAAAATTCTCCAAAAGGCCAGAATAACCTTAGAGGTCACCTATTGCATAGTAAGCAGTGTCAGGTGCAATATTTATTTATGAAAAACACACTATCTTCATGCCCTGAAGTGCAAATATGTGCTCCTCTGCATTGTAACTCTGAGTTATGTTTGCTACTCTTTAGGTTTTTATAGATTCCATCTATGCCAGCAAACAGGAGGATGTTTATATCTGACCACAGTAAGATTGTGCTAGTTATGCTTTATCTTTGGCCATCAACAGATGAATTATGAAAACACTGAAGAAGTATCTTTAACTACTGTATCACTCATTAGGATGCCTGTAACACATTTAGCTCTGACTGCAGAAGCATTTTTGTTTCCACACAAGATAAATTCAACAATTACAGAAAGTTATTTATTGTATCCTGTGGCTAACAACAGGCTTGAGTCTTTGTATCTCAAAACAGGGAAATCCACTACTGTTCTGATTACATTTGTTTGTCTCAGCAATGTATAAATACCCACAGATGTGTAGGCATTGCATGGCTGTCAATATCTATCTCATATATTGTCCATATAAATCTTGTTTGTGTATTGTTGACGCTGAATGCAATACATTAATTTGTCAATGCCTAACACTTATTGCATTGATTAAATGCATACAATTTTCTCCCAGCTCTGGCTTAGGAATGACTGCAAGCACAACACAGGGTCTTTTGGGAGAATTCCTGAACTGAAGGAGCATTTTGTTTCACTTTCAACGTGTACTCCCCAAACAGCTAAAGAAGCTTGTCATATCATCTGTTCTAGTTGTCTCTACCACAGCAACATAGTCCATAATGGAATCATTTATAGTAATATATCCCTTTAGATGTGTTGTACTTGTTACCCGTTTAATATCACTGCATTGCAAGAAATGCATGGTAACTCTTTCCATCAACCTTGTCCATTATTCTGTACTATCCAGAGACTTATCCCCTTATTCAGAGATATAGATAATTTTTGAGTGTGTTGAGAATTGGAAGTCTTACCTGGTCCCTCTCGCTACTGTAACAATAATTAAGAATCACAACAGTTTTCCCTTCTAAATACTAGCATCATCACATATATTTCAAATAATACTTAAAGAATTTTATTTAAATATAAATATGCCAGAACTCCTTCTAAATCTTGCAAAAAAATTAAGGGAAAAGAAACTGTACTGAAAATAATAATTTTATATGAAATCTAAAAAAATATGTGTGAGACCTAAAAAGCATGGAAATACCTCTTGAAAGACCATAGGTCCATACATTCTATTTCAAGAGTCAGGAAATTAACATCTAAGGCTAGGATTGTGCTTACCTATATTCCTGATGAGTGACAAAATCAAACACTTGCTCTCCTGAAGTAAAGGAGTAAAACCCCTGTGGCCTTTAGACCAGATATCTGATCACATTTCAAAGAATGTCGTTGCTTGTAACTCTCTCTTCCTGAAATTGATTTGTAGGACTTTCTTCTGGCTTGTGTCAGGAACACCTGCTATAACGGGGAAAAAATGTTAATACAAGGTATTAAAAATAAGTAAAATGCGACAACTCAAAAAATACAAAACATGCATTCTGCAAACAGTCTACATCTGAGGAAGAAGTGGTACAATTTACTGCTGTCAGATCATTATTTAGCATTATCATTTTATTACCTCCTTATGACATTTTATTAGGCCATTAACTCAGAAGATTCTCCCCACATTCTCACAGAGCGAAGTGCATAGACATACAGCTGTATGTCCTGTTTCAAATGGCACAGCCTTGGTGTTAAATCTCCCTCCTTGCTGACTAGGCTTGAAAGCAGGAACATCAGAGAACATCTCCAGAGAACGTTTTCCACACTCGGCGTTTCGCAGCCGGGGAGATCCGGCGGCCCGGCCCGGGCGCTGCGCTGCCGCCGGCGGCCGCTGGGGGCTCCCGCCCGCCCGCGGCCCGTCCCGCCATTGCTGGCATGGAGGGCGAGAGCACCTCGGCGCTGCTCTCGGGCTTCGTGTTCGGCGCCCTCACCTTCCAGCACCTCAGCACCGACTCAGACACGGTGGGTGCCGAGGCACGGTGGGGGAGGGCCGCTCCGGGTCGGTGGGAGAGGAGGGAGGGGCGGGCCGCCCCCCACCGCGGCCGCGTTGCCGCCGGGCCTCCCCCGCCCGGCCCTGCCGGGAGAGCGGCCGGGCACGGGGCTGGCCCGCCCCGCCGCGCCCGGAGCCGCTTCGTGTGCGAGCGGCGGAAAAACGTGGGGATTCCGTGCTCGAGCGAGGCGAGCGGCGGCTGCAGCGCCGTGCCTGCCCCGGGCAGGGTGCAGCGCTGGCCGGGCCGCCCGGCTCCAGCCTCCCGCACGGCCGCGGGCTGCTCCAGCTCAGCGAACACTGGAGCCACCGCAAACCCACCGAGACACAGCACTGCCTCACTGAGGATTTTTTCCTAACTGCGGGCTAGTATTAAAAATTGAGTGAGAACCCACTCTGTTAAAAAAAAAAAAATATATATATATCAAAAGTTCGTTTTGACAGCATTTTTCCTCTCCTGAAGACAGCACTCACACTTGGTATTATAGACAATCATGATAGAATATGCTGAGTTGGAAGGGACCCACAAGGATCACGCAGTCCAACTTTTGTCTCCCGCACAGGACACTCCAAGAATCCCACCACGTGCCTGTGAGAATGGTGTCCAAACGCTTCTTGAACTCTGCCAGGCTTTGGTGCTGTGACCACTTCCCTGGGGAGCCTGCTCAAACACCTTCTGGGGGAAAAACATTTTTCTGATATCCAGACTAAACCTCCCCCAACTCAGCTTCATACCGTTCCCTTCAGTCCTGTCACTGTCGGTGGAGGGAAGAGATCAGTTGCTCCACTTCTCTTGAGACAGCTGTAGAATGCAATGAGGTCTCCCCCTAACTCTCCTCTAGGCAGAACAGACCACGCAGCTTCAGCCACTCCTGTGGCTTCCCCTCTGGACCCTCCACTATGTTTGCAGCCCTCCTTTGGACACTTTCTAATAGCTTTGTATTTTTCTTACATTGTGGCACCCAAAACTGCACACAGGACAGGGGGTGAGGCCACACCAGCACCGAGGAGAGCAAGAGTGTCTGTTCAATGCTACTGTTAATGTGATTGTTTTTTTTTTTCTCTTCCCCTCTAAAGGAAGGTTTTCTCCTTGGAGATGTGAAAGGTGAAGCCAAGAACAGCATTACAGACTCACAAATGGATGATGTTGAAGTTGTTTATACAATCGGTTAGTGTGTCCACATTTTTCATGGCCTGCTTGGTTTCGGGCAGTAAATGGCAGCTTTCAGTTTTGAGGGACAGCAGTCCATGGCAAGATCAAAGCTCCAAGATCCTACATGCTTCACCGATGTAGAAAAAAAACAACCAAACCCAAACAACCAAAAACACATAGAAGGGTTATTTTGTAACATTTTAACTGCTAAAAAGATTGCCATTTTACTGTAGAAAACACAATAATTTAAAAGAAATAACAGTTCCTAGTTCCTTGGATGGCTCCTCTTTCCCAAATATCTTGTTACATTAAATGTAACTTAGGGTTTAGACCCTTGTCTTGACTACACCTCAAACTCTCCTGGACTACAGTTGCCCTAGGAAATCTTTGTCTATCAGTGATGTGAACTGTAATGTATTAGCATCTGTTACCTCATTTGGAGCTTATAAAATTATGTGTGTGAAGGCAAGCTCTTTAATAATTTCACTAAGCAGATACCAGATGTATTTTTTATCATCTTGATGTGACTGGAGTGAATGTGCACTGAATGACTCAAGTTAAATCCTTCATACTACATATTTCTCCTTCACCTAGCAGAAGGGAGAAAAATATGAAGTACCCAGCTTGATTTTTCAGTTGACATAGTAGAAAAGTATACAAAAAATACAGTTTATATAAGTGGTTCCCTTTACATTTGACAAAATTAATTAGAACATATTTTACAATATTTCCTTTCTTCACATTATTTAATTTTATGTTAATGCATTTAATTTTAAGAAATTATATAAAATTATTTCTTTGTCCTTCTATCAGTTTTATGCTGATCATAGCATGCAGAAGAATATACATCTTGAGCTAATGAACGCAGAGTAATGTTACCTTCTCTTTCCAGACATACAGAAGCATATTCCATGCTACCAGTTGTTCAGGTAAGAATCTTAAGGAAACAGATACTGAAAAGTTAAAATTAACCCTTACCTGAACTCTTCAAGTGTTAAATTTACATTGCCTAAGAAAATCACCCAGCTGTAACTATAGTAGCTCTATCAACCTCTTGGAATTGCAGATGCAAAATGCCTTATGCTATACCTATTTTGCTTCTTTATGTCTTTTTTTTTTTTTTTTTTTAATGTTTGTCTATGCATATAGAAATAGAGATAAGGCATACTGCACCTTCTGGTGACCTACGATACCATATAAACTACAGAACAATGTCAACACACTGAAAAAAAAGTATTCCATACATTCTAACCCCTCACCCTTAATAATATTAATTTTTTTTTTAAGTGAGATGATTCTCAGCATACTATTTTTCCAGTCTAATTTCTTCCCCTCTAATTGTCCTAATTTTCTCTAGCTTTTATAACTCTGCAGGAGAACTGAATGAACCTGCTCTGAAGAAAATACTATCAGGCTGTAAGAAGGTATTTTAATCTTATATCTAAACCATACTGAGGAGCTCACTCAAATTTTGGAGGCTATTCTGAATATCTCTTGCATCAAGGTTTTTTCCTTTCTCATTTTAAACTTTTATAGTCCCTCATTCTGCTGGTCAAGGCAGCTACATCCTTTTCCTCCCTAAAAAACAGTTTAGCTTATCTTTGACTAGGATTTGCCTACATATGTGTCACAAGCTTATTTTGAATTATTAATTTCTCAAGTGAACACTTCAAGGATCCCAAAGGAATTGCACCAATTTCCACCTTAAGATCAGTTGAGGTCAGCTCACAAGTGGTTAAGGACCACTTCATCAAAAAAAAATTAAACTTTTTTCTACAGAACAAAGTTTTACAAGGGGAAAGTAGAAGCTGAAAAGAAACAACAAAACAGAAGAAAGCTTGCAGTTTCGACTGGAACACAGGCTAAGAAACAGACCAATTCAACACATGGTTTTGAAGGAAAGAAGATGGGAATTAGGCTTAGAAGTTTTAAAGGTTTCAAGTAACTAACTGCTTGACTATGCACCCATTAGCAAACAATTCAGACATGACTTTGCACTGAATGAAACTTGCTTCAGTGACACACAGGGAGACCATGATTCAACAGTAACTGTGAATTTTCTTCTGCCTGCAGAGTGTAATAGGATGGTACAAATTCAGACGTAACACAGACCAGACCATGACATTCCGGGAAAGAGTTCTTCATAAAAACCTGCAGTCACACCTATCAAATCAGGGGCTTGTATTCCTCCTTTTAACCTCTAGTGTGATGACAGAAAGTTGTTCTACTTACAGATTGGAGCATGGTCTACATCGGCCTCAGGAAGGGTAATGTCTACAGCATGTGCTAGAACTTGAAAGTTTCTCTACTTTGTTGCAACTGAATCAGTAACGCTGTTTATTTTACCTTTGAAACTTAAACTTTTAATAAGATTATTCCTTATGTTGCCACAGCCCAGTTGAATTCCACAGCCTTGGAATCTATTCTGGGATTGCCCTTTTTATCTGTAGCACCAGCATCACCAAGCAGACACTGTCAGTTTATTTACACACATAAGCTACTCCTGATCAAATTGTTTTGTGTACAGGACTTCAACCATACATGGTGTTCATCAAAATATTTAAATTGGTGTCAACTTTATCTTCAGAGATATTCTGCTCACAGGCTAGGCTTACCAAGCAAATGTTGCATTAGTGTGTGTTGTAATTAGAAAGAGGAGAAATTATGGGCATTGCTCAGCTTCTGGGTGCTCTTGGAGTTTACCTTTAGCCTCATCTGTGTGTGATGTAACACATTGAGCAAGGATTAGAAAGGGTAATCCTCCCCTCAGATCCTGAATGGCCAAGAACATTTAACTTTCAATGAGACACCTTTGAATATTAATAGATCATGTTTTCACACTTACGCATTTTAAGTCTTTTCCAGAAAGTCCCTTTGGTTGTTACCAACTTGGGCATGGCAGAACAGCAAGGTTACAGAACAGTGTCCAGTTCCTGTGTATCCTCTGGTTTTGTGAGAGCCGTGAGACAACACAGGTACAATATGTGTTGTATTTACTGACAGCTGTAGCTTCCCACTACCACAACTACACTTACCTTTCTATAAAAGCATCCAAGTGCTTTTACAAATGTTATAGTCATACCTTGTTTCACCTGTTGACCTATTTTCTACAATTCTTGCCATTCTAGCATACCAGGCAATTCAGTCCCATATTTTGCCAGGAGCTGTCCATCTCAGCACAGGCAACTGAAGTTCAAAATACTTCTTTACTCACTAAACTCCTACTAAGTAAGCACTGGGATCACTAGCTTGCAATTATGCCATTCTACTCCTGGTTGCAGGTCAGAATTCTTCCATGAAGATGGGTCCCTACAAGAGGTTCATAAGATAAATGAGATGTATGCCACCTTGCAGGAGGAACTGAAGGTAAGCCAGGCAGGCCTGCCTACCTTCATCAGTTCTACAAAACCAAGGCAGCCAAGGGCTACAACATCTTGCACTGCATGAGAAAACAAAGCCATGTCCAAAACATAGACAAACTGAAAGGTCAACAAGTTCTATTTACTGTGCTGCACACTACATTCTCAAAGCTCAGGATTTAAGTTCCAATTTGATTAAAACACAATGTTTAATCTTCAAGCCCATGAATAAATTCTCACAAGAGGATTATTTTGAAGAAGTACTATCCGTAGTTTGTTAGTTCTCCTTTGCCTAGATGGGATCAAATAAAACATCTTGCATCTTACTCAACACAAGGTTTAAGTTATGTAACAAATCCACCTCCAAATCATTACTTAAGCTTTTTACTACTATGTGTCCAATTTAACCATGAGTACCTTCAAGGATGCAATAATTTTAAAGTCAGCTACTGTGAATACTGTTAGTCTGATCAACACGATCTTCTTCTTCCAGAAAATATGCGTTACAGTAGAAGTCAGTGAACGATCTGTAGAGAAACTCTTAGCAGAGGTGAGCCAATTAAAAGAAGAAATAAAGAGGAAAAAGCAACAAAATTGTTCAGGTAAGTTAATCAAATGTGATGCAAGCCTTGCCCTTCCAAAGTTGACTCAAGTGGCAGAAGCAGAAAACACTTCTGAACCTGAGGCAGCCAAAACAGCAGTGGTGCAAGAGGTTCTGCAACGCTGACTTTGATATTTTTTTTTTTCCCTCAGGAGAAGACAAAAACCACCCAGCAGAGCCAAAGGAGAATGTTCTTCTTTGCCAGGCACTACAAACATTTTTCCCCAATTCCAGACTTCAGACATGCATTGTTTCCTTCAAAGGCCAACAAATATCCAAGAACTGCTGTAACACAGACCATCACATTAATGTCATGGACAAACTGACTCTCATGGTAGAGGAAAGAGACTTCACTGAAGCTGAAGTAAGGCATCTAAACAAGCGTAAGGTCAGGGGGACCACATCTGTTTCAAAGTCATCCAAGAAGTCCAGATCATTGCAGCTTCACCAAGAACCATTTCAAGACCAAGAGGACAGTGACCAGGAAAGGAAGCTTATACTGAGTAGCACTGAAACAGATGAGGATGCGTTTGAAAAAACCAGAGGTGCAGAAGAATACCCACACTCTCCTACTTTCTGATCTGTCAGATGACTTCACACCAGAAGCTACTGCTCGTGTATTCCAGTGATATACCAATCTCTTGCACTGCAAGGATGTATGTAACAGGGCATTTTTGCAGGTTGTTCTTTTTTCCCTAGTGCACGAATCCTGTTCAGCATAAAGATAAATCCAAGATGATATTTCCTCACTTGACCTTCCAGAGTTCCACCAGTCTTCTCTCTCTCAAGGTTCAAATCCTATGCCACAGGATGCTATCAGTCAGATAAGCACGTCACATGCTGCCTCAAAGTGATACAACTTCAAGCTGCTGGTGAAGATGCAGGGAGCATCAAATGAACACATTACAGAATTAGCTGTCTACGTGAACTGCCACAGTTTAAATACATCAATTTATCCTCAGGAAACCAGTGCTTATTTACTTCTCCACATCTTACAACCCAGCAAGGGGAAAACCAGCCACCTGAGCTTTAGCAAGACTGCTGAGCAGAGGAAGGGGTCCACAGTGCATATAGCTGCCAGTTTCTATTATTGCTTTAATCTTCCTTCAGACAATGACTTTCAGAGACTTCATGAAGAAAAATAGAAGAATGACTGACATCCACTCCTCAGTCAACCACACATTATGCTAGCAAACCACATTTCCAGCAAACAAGTATATAAACATGAAAAACAGTTTTATTGTTTATTTCTGTACAGCATATCACTCTGGATACTTGATGTTACATAGCTTGGGGTCTGTGAGAAATTGTGGGTTCTTAAACATAACTGGCATAAATCCTGTTAAAAAAATAGATGGAGGTGTTCTTAGTAGAAAAGTAGCCTTGAGTTAGAAAATTCAAAAGCAAAATCATACTTACCAAATACATGAGCTCTTTTAATGGCTTTTGTAATTTCCTTCTGCTTCTTGTTGCACAAGCCTAAAGAGATGAATTATTTTCAACACTAAGCAAATCATTAGAGCATGAAAGGTATATTACTGACAATTCCCTTTGGCTTGGATTAAGTCTTTCTAGAAAAATGCATGTGTACTTTTACTGTTAAATACAAAATGCATACAATTAAGGGATATTTTAATCCCTTGATGCAGGCAACTAAGTCAGGGGAATACTGTTACAAAATGTATGGAGTTGGGACTGGTTACTTTCAGAAAGACTGCTGATGCACAGTTACATAGAATCACAAAAATATTATTATTAACCCGTATGTGATTTAATTTAATACTTCACATACCTGTGATATGCCTGCCATAAATGGAGCCAGTATATGGAGAAACAAACTGGGAAAGAAGCTATTTAAAATTAAGAAAAATCAAAGTCAGTTTAAGAACTTATTTTTTTGAGCTTTGTGTTACTACTTGTACTCTATTTTTCATTTTTTCATCTGTTTTTTTCAGACTTCAGTTCTACCTGAAGAAAAAAAAAGTACAGCTTGGAGCTAGACAGTATATTCTGTGCTTTTCTATGCTTCCATGCTTTGTGGCAGCTGAATTGTAACCATGGACTCTTTGTTGAACAGCAAAGTTGTCACACATAGTCAGTATATTAAGCATCTTAGCATGACTACATTATTTGGCCCTTGACTTACACACATTCTTACTCATAAGTTTTAAACCCCTATGCATATGAATGGATTTTTAATTGTTTTTAAACATTTCTGACTTACTACACACACATTTAAAAACAGTAAAGCAGCTCCCTTCATCCAAGGACAGCAATTTTAAAACTCACCTGCACATTCTTATAGTCCACATTTACTCCACATAAGACACATCTCTTTGGAGGGTCTTTGTAGGGGTTCTCCATTTGTATGGGCTGAAATCAGAGAATGATTAACACCTGTAAGCTTCACAAGAAAATAGAGAGCATTTGTTACTTTTAATCCTTTGATCAATATTTGTCTTGAAACCAGAAGCGATATTTGGTGTGTCACTTAAGTTTTTCAATAACTTTATTAACTCAATTCTTGGTACCTTGCAACTTCAAAGACTTCTCACAAGTAAACAGCTGTTTATATTTCAGTAACAATGACACTAGCAACTCTATTAAATCATTCAGTAAGATAGTGCTTACACCTTCTACTTGAAGTCAAAATCTGCAGAAGCTGGTAAAAATGTACTTCTGTCTGACAAGTCACAAGAATCTTTCTTAAAAAATAATTTCAAAGCAAACGGCCCAAGAAAGCTTCTGTGTGCTAACACATATTCTGAAGAGAGAGATTCAGAAATACCTCCCAAGGAGCATCCTTGGGAGGTATTTCTGAATAGTCTGCTTAAGCTTCAGAATACACCCAGCACCGAATTCTTACAAGGTATGAAAGGTGATTTTTTGCTTTTCACAAAGCAACAGAACAGAGTTGGAAGGGACCTGTGGAGATCATCCAGTCCAACCCCCTGCCAAGGCAGGGTCACCTGCAGCAGGTGACACAGGTACACGTCCAGGTGGGGCTGGAATGTCTCCAGAGAGGGTGAGTCCATGACCTCCGTGGGCAGCATGTTCCAGAGCCCTGCCACCCTCAGTGTAAAGAAGTGTTTCCTCATGCTGAGGTGAAACTTCTTGTGCTTTTAGTTTATGGCCACTGGTCCTTTTCTTGTCGCTGACTGTACGTCTGAGCCACTGAGACACCAGGTTTAACAGGCTCTAGTTAAGATGTTGGAATACAGATCTGTGGGGCCTTAACTTCCAGCGCCTGACGACGCCCCGTCCTCGCGGTCTGATGAGCCCCGAGCTACACAGCGACCAGCACAAGCGTTTCCAGCACCGCTACTGTGCGGCGGGGGAGCAGCGGGACAGGAGGGCGGGACAGGTCGGGGAAGCCTCACCTGGTCCGAGCGCTCAGGCTGTCCCTCAGGCTGTCCTTCATGCTGCAGGCGGCGCGGCCGCACCCACAGCTTCTCTGCAAGGGAGAGAGCGACAAGGTCAGCGACAAGGTCAGCAACAAGGTTAGCGACGGCGCGGCACACACGCGAACACCCCGCAGCCACTGAAGACAGAGAGGGAGCATCAGGAACGCACCGAGAGCCAAGCGCGGCCAGCTCCTCCGCGCCGCCACGGCCCGCGCCGCCATGACACCCGCACCGCGCCTCCCTGCCGCCCGCCGGCCAATAGCAGCGCGGCCTGCCCGGCTGGGACACACGATTGGCCACAGCCGGTCACGTGCCGCCCCGGCGTGGTGTTGGCGGCAGTGCCGCTCCCGCCATGGCGGCCGCGCCTCCGGGGGCCGGCCCGGCGGGTCCGGCCGTGCCCTGACGGTGCCCTGACTGACGGTGCCCTGACTGACGGTGCCCTGACTGACGGTGCCCCCGCCATGGCGGAGCCCAAGCTCGCCGTGCGCAGGAAGAGCCGCTCCAGCAAGCGGAGCCGGGCCCCAGTGCAGCCCGTCGCCGCCAGCTCGCCGGTGGCTCGCAAGAGGCCGAGTTCTGATGGCGAGGGGCCCCCGGCGGAGGAGCCGGTAGGGGATGGCGGGTTCCGGGGATGGTGGGGAGCCGGGGAGCTCCGCCTGGGAGGATGGCATGTGTCGGGAAGGGCCGACTTTGTCTGCCGCCCTTTGGCTTTAACTTTAAAAAAACCTATCTGTATAATTTCCGTGCGCACGTATCCTCCTACTTGTATGTATCTGTTTCACTTCGTTAAGGCATTCCTTCAGAACCTAAGCTGAGTTTTCCTCACAGTCGACATCACACAAAATGCTTTTGTGTTAAGTTGGGGCAGACTTAGGTGACTTGGTTCTGATGTTTGCACTCTGCTAGTTATTCTGCCTTCTGTGGTGTTGCCTCAGGGTGTCCTTAACTCCTGTTTTGTTTTTGCAGTGCGATAACGATAGCGAGGAGGATATGTTTGGTGACTATGACAGCTTTTATGGAAACGATTCATTGATAGCTCAAGTGGCTGATATTGAACACAAATACCTGCAGGATAAAAATATAGATATGGAAACAGCTGGAGAGATCGTACTTGGGAACCTTCAGTCAGGAGTTCACCAGAAGGAGCAAGATAACTTCTCTGCTTCACAAAATGTGGTTGTCCTCAAAAGTGATAAAGAGAGTGCCTGCCAAATGTGTGACAGTGACCGAGCTGATGGCAATCAAGAATTAATGGAGTCTACTTTAGATGACTTGCCATCGTCGCAACTGCTGTGTTTTGAAAAAATGGATGAACTTTCTTCTGCTTCTAGAACATCTCCAATCTCAAAAGGGAGGGATGAATGTGTGAATTCTTTCTCACACAAAATCAGAGACCCATTGTCTTTTTATCCTGGTGCTGAACACAGGAACAGACCTACTGACACTTCCTCAGACTCCAAGTGTGTTTTATTTAAATCTGAGAGTCTCAAAGATCACCTAAAAAATGCTATGACTGGAAATGCCAGAGCCCAGACTCTGCAGGTCTCCAAGACCAAGCAGCTCAAAGAAGCTGTTTTATCTGAAGAGATTGTTGTGGCTAGGAAAGCTATTGAATCATCTTCTCTTGATATAGGCCCTTTTTATGGATTACCTAGCAAGGTTAAAGATTTATTCAGACAACTTCGAGGGATTGAAACACTTTATGGTAGTGTAATCAATGGTCTGTTGGGAAAAAAAAAAGAGCTGCTAATGGAGTATTGTCTGTTTCACCCATTATACTGTAAAAATATTTAAGGTAATGCTTAACATGAACTGTGTTGGAAGGTAGTTGTCCTGTTTTAGGAAGTGACTATTTTGGTGTTTTAGATGGATGGATGGTATCTATTCATTTGGATTACAGAATACTTTGGAAGTTATCATCACTGAAAGCTTTAAGTGCTTTTTTGAGGAAAAACTCTCAAAGGCTGAGAGTTTCTGAATGAAACACAGGGATTTTTGTATAAACTAACATGCCCCTGGGGTTGCTAATAGTTCCATTTTCATTTTGCAGAGTGGCAGCATGATTGCTTAATGTTAGAATCCCTACAGCAAAGGAAGAACTTGATATATTCATTGCCAACCAGTGGTGGAAAAACTCTTGTAGCTGAAATAATAATTCTCCAAGAATTACTCTGCAGGCAGAAGGATGTTCTGATGATCCTGCCATATGTTGCCATTGTCCAAGAAAAGGTCTGGATACAGTATTTCTGGTACTGCTTCCTGTGATATAGGTTATATGTGTAGATGCTTCAATTTTGTAGCTGGAATAGATATTCTTAGCTATGTTTCACTAATTCCAGCAGCTGATTGTGGTGTGGGTTGGTTTTCTGTTGAGTTGTTTAGGCAGCTCTGAAATCCACAATGAGCATGAATTTGTTTTCTAATTGATTTTTCTTTTATAGGTTAGGGGTTTATCAAGTTTTGGGATAGAATTGGGTTTCCTGGTTGAAGAATATGCAGGAAGTAAAGGAAGATTTCCACCAATCAAAAGGAGAGTAAAAAAGTCTCTTTATATTGCTACTATAGAAAAAGGACATGCTCTGGTGAACTCCTTAATTGAAACAGAAAGAATCTGTGACCTTGGCCTGGTTGTGGTAGATGAGGTAGGCCACAAGATGTACTCTGATTTATCAGATGCATGTTTCTTTTAGGGTTCTAATAAGCAATTATTTAGGAAGGAGCAGTTCTTTGCCTGCTTGGTTTTGCTTAGAGTATTCATAATGAAAATTACTTTTATTTTCTGTGTTCTGAATTGGCACATAATTCTATAATTTTGAAACTTGTTTTTTTTTTTATTTTTAATGCGGCATTTATTGCTATTTCAGGGTAATAGATTTATATTGAGAGATCTACTGTGGTAGTGGTTGATGGTGAATTCCTGCGTAACTACTTGTCATTTAGAAGTCTCTAATGGGTTGCAAAAAAAGCATAAATCATTTTAATTGTATGGAATGTACTTTATGAAGCCTACACCTTAACTCGTAGACGTGAAGCCATGCAACTTCGTGTCTGGTATTAATGACCAGTGAAACACTGATAAAAGAGAAAAATACAAAGTAACATTTGTCTGTGAGAATTGCCAGTTGCAGTGGTGGGGCTGAGTTGTGCTGCCAAGGGGTGATTGTGGGGTTGAGTAATGTGTGTAACATCTGATGGGGGTTTTAATTCCTGGAATTCATCAGGCTGACTGATTATGCTTTAGCACTGTACCTTCTAAACAAAAGGCAGCTGAAGCACTAACTTCTGTTTTTTCTAGAAGCTGGCTGGTAGGAATGTTTTTACCTTAAGTCTTGTTTAAACCAAGTTTTGTTTAAAATTGCCTCAGACTGGTGAATACAAAGATCTCTACACTGTTTACTGTCAGGAGTTAACTGTTTGTGTCAGTTGTGGTCTAGTTAAATGGAAGGTAAATCTTGTCTACATTTGCCCATGAGCCTGCCTTTCTGTGATTCTTAAATGCTTTTTAAGCAAGGTAATACATCTGAACTTAACAATCCAAATTTACACAAGGGACATCTTTAGGAAGTCCAACACAAACAGTTATGTAGTATTTCTTTATGTCTATATATTTTGGAGGTTTTTTTAGAAATACTCTCAACTCATTAGCATTCTTGCCTTTACTTTTTCTTTTCTGTCTGCAGCTGCATATGCTTGGGGCAGGAAGCCGTGGAGCAGTACTGGAAATTACTCTGGCGAAAATTCTTTACACCAGTAGTAAGTCATGGCTACAGTTAACATCATTAACGTTTTGTGGTTGTGGCATTTCTGAGGGAAGTCACACACTCACTTTCTGGATTTGTGCTGTTTTAGCTGCTTTTGAAAAACATGGCATGACTCCATGTACTCATTGAAGTGTTAATTGACCCTCTAATGATGTTAGGGTGTTTTTGAAGCTCTTTTAATATTTCTCTGTGAAATCCTGAGTATTGTCAAATGTCTTAAATCTCTTCCATTTCTTTGTAGGAGTCCTTTAGGCATCCAATTAAATGCCTTTTTTTTTTTTTTTTTTTTTTTTTTTTTTTTTTTACATTTAAGTCTCAGTTAGAATTTTGTGACTTAGTATTATTTCCTAGTTAGTATTTCTTTAGTAGTGGCCTCTCCCTTCAAACCTGCTACTTTGACATTTTGAAAAGATTGATGGTAAAGAAGGAGTCTCATTACTTAAATACTAAACAGAAATGTTAAAAATTGGTAATGTGACAATAAATTAATCTCAACTTCTGTTTTACAGAAAAGACACAGATCATTGGCATGAGTGCAACATTAAATAACGTTGGAGACCTGCAGAAGTTCCTGCAAGCAGAGTACTACACTAATAATTTTAGACCGGTCTGTATACAAGATACCAGGAACTAGTAAAGAAGATATTTGCCTTTAAAATCGTAGTAAATCTGTTTAGAATTGTATCACAGCTTTGGTGCTTAATTGCACAGTATAATATAAGGCCTGCTATTGCTCTCTAATTGCTAACAGTACAGTAAATAGCACCATGCACTTCTAAATACACAAATGCAATAACGTTTATACTGCTGTGCTAAGGCATTTGTTTCATTTTAACTTAAGCAATTCCTAAATTACAGCTACTGTGATGAATCACTATATTCCATTTGGTGTAACTGGAATCTGTACTGCTGGTTCTTGTATGCTGTGAGGAAAGCATGGTTTATAAATAGTTCATGGGATACAATTTTGGCATTCTTCATTATGATTCCATGCTTTATCAAGGCAAATGATTAAAACAATTAAGTTCTCTTAAAAATTCTAAGGCATGTGCTAATGTGCAAGTATGTATATGACCTGTGATGCTTAGAGAAAAGCTGTAGCTATACATCATCAATAGCTTTAGAGAAAACTGAGTAATTTAACTAAAGTTTCTCCTTGTGGTTTCTATCTTACTAGGTAGAATTAAAGGAATACATAAAGATACGAGACACCATTTATGCAGTTGACAGCAAAACACAAAATGGATTTGCTTTTTCACGTCTCCTTAATTTCAAGGTAAAAACAAAGTGCTTATAGCTTCTTAGAACTGTTGTGAAATGCATTATTTTACACTGATTCGCTTACAGACCTTTTACTAGAGAAATTAACATGATAATTCATTTGTAGTACCCATGAGAAAGAAGTGGTAGGCTTTGGGAATGAAAAAACCAGCCTTAAAATACTGAATGCTTAATTTGATTTGAGCTTCTTTTTGACTCCTCAAGGTAGAGGTTTCTTCAGTATTTTGACATGCAAAAAGTAATGTGTTTGAATATTCTAGA